TTTCCCCCAGCTTTTCCGAGGCGGGACGCGAGCAAGTATGCAGCAAGCTTTTCCCCCTCTGGATGGGACACTGGGGCGTGGAACATGAAAGTCGTCCCCCTTGGGTCCCTGGTGGGTCGAGAGTTTTGGAACCCCAAATTTTTAAGGAAACGTGGGGCTTTTTTTTTCCCAGACCCCAGGTCTCTGATCCCCGGGGGAAACAAATTGATAGTTGACTATGCCCCGGGGGGGTTGCGGGATCTTTACTCCTCCTTGGTGAGCGCTCCTCCGTGCCCCACACTGTGATGGATATAGGGTCAGCCAGTGGGGACACACAGGATAGTTTATGCTAAAGAGCTTGCCATTCTTCAAGGATAGATGGGATCCGTCGGGGGGGTTTGGGGGTTTGGGTATTTTGGTGTAGTGATCGGGGTCCCTCTCCGGGCATCCCTGTAGCAAGGGTTCCTTAAATGATGTTTTTGATCATTGGCTTGCATGCCGCCTTGGTTTTGGAAAAAAATTTAAGACCATGAGACCGTTTTGGTCTGCTTGCACTTCGCAGCAATAAAAATTTATTTATGTAAATTGGGGAAAGAAGGAAGAGCCACTGCTCGGGGGGTCTTGGGGGTGAGTCCCCAGTGCTGCACTAGGGTTTGGTGCTGGAGCAGCAAGGTCCCCATTCGGTGGGGCCCGGCATAGCTGGGTCTTCTATTCCTGCGAGTCCTGAGGGGTCAGGAAGAATTTGTCTTTGTTACGCAAAATGTGGGATAGTGGGGGCTTGGCCTGGTCTAAGGGAAAAGGTAAAGTTAACTATCCGTCAAAAAAAAAAAAAGTGCAAACTGGTATGTGTACTTAAAGGGGTTGGGTAACAGGGGATTGGGAAAAAACCCCCAAATTAGGAAAATATATCTATTTGTCACATAACTAACATAACAGAAAACCTTAACCAAAAACCCCCAAAAATGGGGGTACAAAGAACAGCGGCCATAACCACTAGGCCTCGTCGCGCCAGGCCCACATACTTAACCCCCCAACTTCATTTCTTTTTTCCCTCACTCCTCCCACAGCCCCTGCCATGTCGAGCCTAGGTTAACATACAGTAAGCCTATGGACCCTAGGGCTTGGTTGGATAAACAAAATGAGTGCAAACAAAAACTTATCTTAAAATACACAGCATCTCCGACGCCCACCCCTACCATTTGAACTCACGTGCCCCCCAAAACACGCTTACTCCGCAACCCAAAACCCTTGGAAAAAAAATCATTAACGAATTTCTTTAAAATTTCAGTTAGATATTTTACAGTCCCCCCCAATTTATCAATATAAAATTATTCCTTACAACTTATTTTAAAATTTATTAGGGCACACTTCTTTCACTTATGTCTTACGATTTAAAAAAACCCTGCATAACCCCCCCACCCCAGACCATAGGTCCACCTGCGCGGGGTCCCCGGACACCCTGGGAAAAAAAGAAAAAAAAAAAAAAAAATAAGCCCCAAAAGGTCGAGGAAACGGGCAAAATGAAAACGGGGGAAGGACCACATAAATCACAGTCTTTTGGTACACAAATAGCAATATTAACAAACTGAGGTCTAGATTGCAGACATAGAACTCGTCGAACATAAAAGTTTATCAAGTTCTTGCCCAATGAGCTCACAGTACACCTAGACACTTTTTTGGGGAAAAGGACCATTACAACACACGCTGGCCGGGGCGCGGCGTTGATGCATTTTACCTAAATTCATAAAAGCAAATTTTAAAAATAAAATAAATTTTGAAAAAAAGTGCCCCTGGGGAATGCCGTTTTTGAAGTAACCCAAAGTTGAAAGGCAGACCAAATGTATGCCACCAAAAAAAAATTTTTAAACAGAAAAGTACATTTTCCAGGAGTTCATAGAAAAAAAAACAGATGTTAATGTTAAATTCTACGAGAAAAAAAACTCCTTTATCACCCCTCTCACGAAATCTTTAGTAAAAAAAAAGGGCCCCCTGCACACCTCTCCCGGAATCAGGAGAGCACAGGAGAGGGGAAAATATCACCCCCCCCAAAAAACAATGGGGGGATGGCACATATATCTTGTTGGTGGGACGGGGCCCGTAAACCCTGGAGTTCCTGAAGCCCCCCAAAAGGTGGACCCCCGGCCGCCCCTACATTCCCTTCCAAGGACCGGGAGTCACCTCAGCGGGATCCAAAAAGGAAAATTAAAAAAAGAGTCCGGGAACCAAAAACACCTCGGATAAAAAGACATGCCCCCAAACAATGGGGGGCATCACCCCCCACCCCCCAAAATTCACAAAAACGTTAGGTCCAACAGTCCCTTACCACAAAAAAACAAAGGCGGGCTTACCCCAACCCCTAAAAAACGTAGCATACCTTTATAGGCATGGCCTTTGATATGACTACCCCCCTAATACACCACTAGGGAATCCCTGATCCCTCCAGCTCAACCTGCCCTTTCCTTTGGGTGGTCAGGGTTCCTCTCCCTCGTCACGCAAATCACTGAAAAAAAGAATAATAAGGATTATACCTCATTGTGCATTTTTTAAAACACGGACAAGGCATCAAAACCCACTTTCTCGCCCCCTTCAATAATGAATCACAAGTTAAGGGGTTGAGAAAAAAGGCCCCTCGTAGTCTCGATTGTGGTTCCTCTTTAAGTGAAGGAAAGAAAAGGTTTAGGGTCACTATCACGTTATGGGGTGAATGTACGATATAACACCTAAAATGTTGCACTGCCATCACAAAAGAAAGAGCCCCCTTTTTTCTATGGTGGCATAGTGCTGTGGGTTTTTCGTTTTGCCGAAAATAGCTGACTGGCAAAACTTTTCCCTCTACTTTTGCAGTAGTAAAGCCCCAACGGATTACTTGTAGAAAAAAGGGAAATGTGAAATTGGGACTACCCAGCACAGGAGCACTTTAAGCAAAGCTTTTAATGTTCAAATCCCCTTGACACTTCATATCCCAAAAAAATGTAAATTTGGGGGCAGTAGGTCAGGAGTGGAGAGATACCTTTGAAAAATTTTGGGGACAGAACTTTTATAAAAGTTACCTGCCCACAAAACGCATAACCCCCTTCCGGGCTTTGGTACAGGATAATTGTTATAGCCCCCATTTTGGCTTTCAGGGGCCACCTTTCCTGGCCCAATCATGTCCTAGAAAAGTTACCGGGGCTTGCCTAAAACACTTTTGCCAAATTTTAACTTTGAGCTAGCACCAGCGAGCCCAGAGAAAAAACTCTTAAGCTGCCTTAATGCTCTGCCAACAACGCTAAAAAAACCAGGTCATCATAAACACCCCACCCCTTTAGGCCACGTATAACCCCCCTGCACTACGTTGAAAAAGGAGGGGGTTACAAGCCCAAAAGGGGAGAAATTTGTACTGAAAAAGCCCCTGGGGTTACAAAAAACAGAGATGCACGGCACGTGGGGGGTTTAAAAGGATTGGTAAACCCCCCCAACAGGTCTAATTACTTACATATTTAGCCCCCCACGCATCAAGACATCCCATTCTAGGAAGAGGAAAAACAAAACCCTTTTTAAAATTCCTTACGTTTCAGTGCACATCCTCATGGTGCCCTCTGGTTTGGGGGAACCCTCAGACAGGGGATGCCCCCACTCTCCTTTTTTTTATTTAAAACATTGTCAATAAAAAATTTCCCTTCTCCAACTTTTTCTTTTTGGGGTTCTTTTTGTAAGGGGGCCCCGCCCCAATTGGTTCAGCTTTCCCTTACATCTATTCTGGGGCTTTTGCTTGCTTACACGAGGGGTACCCCAAACAAATCCTCAAAAATTTCCCGAAAGCTGAACCATTCAGCACCCTTTCTTACTAAGACCTAACTAATTGTGAAGGATCTTTTAACAATGCCCTGTTCTAAGGGGCACATCTGTGGTCCACTGTGCACGTGTCCACCCCTGGGTACCTACTATATTTTAAAATGCCACACCTCTTTGGTGGTACCTTTTTTACCTGTTTATATGACCCGCGTTCAGACTTCGGTCGCCCAGATGTGTGAATTCTGTAATTTTATCTTGACCTTTCCACTACCTTGTACGGCCCACTGAACTTTGCTTCTAAGGCTTACCAGGCCCGCTCCAATGCAGTACCTCCTCTCCTATTCAAAGGTACGAGGGTGGGCCTTGCGTCAAATTGTTTCTTCTCTTTGGTGGGCTGATGTGCAGGTTTTGCAGCCGCCAGATGCTCCATGTGACCAAACGGGCTCTGAAAGCGAGAAAAAACCTCCCAGGGGGGAGCCCCACAATCTTCACCAAACCCTAATCCTCAAAATCATCATGGCCCGACCGGTGACCTAGATCAGTTTGAAGGGGCATAGCGTAAGAATCCTGAGTGCTGGGG